ACTGTTGGCTGATATACTCGGATCTCTGCAAAATGTCTTCAATTCAGTAACACTATATATAATGGGAGAATTATCCAAATATATACACACTTAGTACATTTAAGTCATGAAAGACTAATCTTTTAATCACACAAAAATGTGAAGAATCTCAATTTATTAATTAATTACCTCCACCATATGGTCCCCCCATGTTCCTGCTACCACCAAAGTTGCCACTCTTCATTGGACCATAGTTAGAAGGTTGTTGGTTATAATTTCCAAAATCATTGTAATTTCCACTTCCATAATTTCCTGCAAAAAAAATTGGAATACGAGCATAATGGACCTCAAAATAAAACATTAAACCACTAATACATGCTGAGTACTCAGAAAATCCCACCTATCACGATATATGCAAAACACCTAACTATAGTTTTTAAAGGCATCTAATGACAACAGTGAAATGAAAAATCAAGTGTTAAAAGCCATTAATTCCACTCCAAATTCCCACAAGAATTGCAGGTGAATTTATTACCTCCTCCATAGTTGTCATAACCACCTCCGTAGCCCCCACCCTGGTTGCCATATCCAGGTCCTCCACCACCATATCCTCCTCTTCCTCCTCCATAACCAGGGCTACCTCCAAAATTGCCACCTATTATAAAATAAGCCTTTAAGTAATTACTTAATATTTTCAATTCCATTTGAACTGTCTTATCACACCCATTTCCAGCTTTCCAAAATACATATTTTCATCAATATATTCCCTCCACGAAATCTCTTAAGGTCTGAATACCTATCCTTAGCAAACTTTTGGGGGCTGGGGTTCCTACCCACAGCCAACTCGATAAAACATTGAGAGAGACTTAAATACCTGTAATACCACAACTTTCCCCTAAAACTGAAGATACTAAGGATCCCTCTTGAAGATATCTTCAAACACATAAGTATTTTGTATAAGGATTGTGAGGAGTAGATTAGCAGTATGGGCTAGGGAGAAAGTGTTAACAGCCAACTTCTTCCCAGTGGTCCAAAATATTAAGCTTCCAATTCATGTTTCCCTATGAAATGAATTACACTATGTCTTTCCTCAAGAGCATTGTTCACTACCCTCTCCCAAAGTAAATATGGGGATAGGACCAGAAATTAGTAAATATTCATATAAATCAGAACTTATTTACTCAATCTAGCACCTTAAAAACAAACAAAACTTCTTCAAAACTGGTACACCACACCAAGTCTAAAATTACTTACAAGTTATAATTTTAAATTAAAATTTCCAAGTAACACCGGAAAAGTTAGATACAGAACTTAGTTATACCTAATAAGTGGCAAAACCAGAGATAAAATCTACTGGTAGCTCAATTTTAAAATGTCCCTTTTTCTTATTAGGAAGCCAGTCAGGAAGTTATCAACCCCTTTTCTGTACTCCAATGAAACTGATTCATTTAAAGTTGTCACTTGATGTGTAACAGTGGCTCATAACCACATCTGTAGCCAAGAGCACACTTACATATATATTTTGAAAGTTCCTGAGATTACTTTTTAGATGTTCTCCTGGGAAACCGATTATCTATTTAAGGGCTAAGACAAGAATTGCTCTTACATATCCTTCCCTTCATGTGTTGATCTCAGTCAATTCCCATATTCTATACCTTTCCAGTACATAAAAATCACGTTTCAGTCCAATTTCTTTGCTTGAGAAACAATGGGATAGCATGATGGCCCTTTAAATTCTCACTTAAAATCCATCCACGATTTTGCACTATATTCCTTAAGCTATAAAATAGCTAAGACACAAATAAATTATAAAGGAAAAGCCAAATAACTGAACCACTATCACCTAAGCCCATTATAAACGGTAAAATACAGAAAACTTTAAAAGCTGATGGATAAACAAACATATACAATGCAGTTAAGTCACAGAAATCAAAATAAAGAAACTGACCTCCAGGTCCTCCTCCATACCCATTATAGCCATCCCCAAATCCACGTCCACTTCCATATCCATCTGTGAGGAAAAGAGATGATTATAAACTGCTCACCCTACTCAATTTTTAGAAGTCACTCCCTCCACATTCTATTAGTAATCCCAAGATGAGAGTTGAGAACTTTAGGATGGAACACACACGTGTTGACTAGTTTATTCATAAAAAGAAAAAAACCATGAAAACACATAATTCTTACTACCAAGACAACTGTCTGTGGGCTTGGACTGAGCAAGCTCAATTTAAGAGATTCCATTTGTTTACACATAGGAATAACGAATGGGGCCAAAACTTTTCTTGTTGGCACTTCATTATGTTATCTATTCAGATAAATATACCTGGTACTAACCCCTTTTATCTTTTAACTGTAAGTTGGGGATTCACCAGAATTCAACCTATTTTAATTCTTAAGGACAACCTTTTAATTTAGATTGGATTTCCTGAATTCTAATTAAAACTTAATCATAGTAGTATTTTTAATCATGCACATTCAGCCTTTAAACACTTAGAACCTGAACTTACCAGATCCTCCTCTAAAGTTACTTCCTGGTCCTGGTCCAAAATTTCCACCACCACCACGAGAATCTCCAAAACCAAAGTTGCCTATAATAAATGCCCTAATTAGAAGCAAGCACTACCACAAATATAAAGAAAGAAAAAACAGAATTAATGAAGTTACCTCCTCTTCCACTCCTAGAACTTTGAACTTCCTGCATTTCTTGTCTGGACAAAGCCTTTCTTACTTCTGCATTATGACCATTGATGGTATGGTATTTCTG